CTGACTCGTATGGTAATTTTGTATCCTTCAACCTTGCTTATTAGTTCACGTTTTTGGTCAGATCTTTGAGATTTTCTACATAGATGTTCATCTGCAAGCAAAGACAGTTTTCTTTCATCTCAATCTGTGTACCTTTAATTTCCTTTTCTTGTCTTATTGCATTAGCTAGGACTTCCAGTATGATGTTGAAAGGCAATGGTGGGGGAAACATCTTTACCTTGTTTCCGATCTCAGTGGGAGGGCTTCCCGGCTCTCATCACTAAGTAGAAGTTAGCTGTAGGTTTTCTGGAGATATTCTTTATCAATTTGAGGAAGTTCCTCTCTTCCTAGTTTACTGAGTTTTTACCGTGAATGGGAGCTCAATTTCATCAAATGCTACTACTGTATATGTGCTGCATGCACTGATGTGGTCATGGTGCTCCGGGTTCTGCAAGCCCCCATTGTGTGGAGACACATCTAGGTCTCTGGCCTCGCCTTGCCTGAGTATGTCTCATCCCTCTGGAAACCAGACCTGGCAGTCACCCCAGGGCCACTGCGTCAGCCTCTGGCCAGTGTGACAGCTGCACTCCACTCACCTCCTTCTAGTCCACGAGAGGAACTGTGACAAGGAAACCTGTCCTCAAATGTCAATCCACGCCTCCCTGGTCCTGGGAATCACCTCTTACCCAGCTAGATTTCATGTTCAGCAGGAAGCCAGCACAGCTCAATTTAATCTTGAATCTGGTAAAAATGGTCCTGGAAATAAGCAGCCTGTCCTTCTTGCCCAAGGCAAGGTTCCCAAAGCAAAAGCTAGAATTGGACAATTACACAGCAAGGATAAAGGGCCTCTCTGCACCCACAGAGCCAACAGGACCCACGACACAGTCCCGTCTCCAGCACACCCATGTCTGTTCCCAGCCGAGCTGCTGGGATGGACCCAGCTGAGGACAAGCTCTTTCGTACCTGCCAGGAGAGGCATGTCCTGAAATCTCAACCCCCTCAGCAGGCAGGAGGCATGGGCAAGAGGTCACCTGCCCACCACCCAAAGCCCACATCTGGGTACCCAGCAGGAGTTGGCCTTAAGCCACATACAGCCACTTTGGACGTTAAGCCTCAAGTCATGCTGAGGCTGGGGAACCTAGGACATGTTGGGGGGGGTGGGTGCTAACCTGAGTAAAGGTTAAATGACCCCTTTATTTTAAAGAAAAATTTTCTAGCAGACCTCAAGTCTAGAAACATGGAACTTAACACTCAAGTCTTCAAATATAATAGATATCCCATAGCAGATTACTCTCACAAAAAGGTTTGTCTTTATAATTGGCAAGAATAAATTACCCAACTGAATATATAAAATTTAAAGATGCTCAAAGAATGAGCAGGCCCCAAGGTGAGAAGAATTTACATATCATTTCAAGGGGCAGGAACTCTCCCATTAGTCACTGGTGCAGACAACTCTGAGCAGGTTGTTGGCGGGGCGTGGCAGTGGTGCTAGGCTGAATTCAGGAGACTTCCAGAGACAGAAAGGTTTGGAGACTGGGTGATGAGGAAGAACGAGTTATTCTGGGGGTCAGAGATGGAGCTGCTGGGAGGCAGGCAGGGGGTGCAGGATGCGTCAGATCCTGGAGGGAGAGGAGGGGAGGGCACAGGGAAGTGGCCAGAGAAGACACATGCCCTCAGGATTTCTTTGAACAGAAAATGACAACTCAGGTGTAACTTTTTTAGCCATTCAACAAGCACTTAAATATGGACTAAATGCACCCACTGTTTAGTGGAAAAGAGCAGAACGGACGATCAGCACTGTCCGTATATAAGAGGCAGGACAGCTCTGAGAGCTCCCTGCCGGCTGGGTCAGGCTGTCCGGATCTGCACCCAGGTCCTGGCCCACAAGTGCTCAGAAGCCTGTGCCTGGGAGAATGACCACTGGGGGCATCGGATCTGAGGGGGGTCTTGTCCCTGTCCAGGGCACCGGCCACACACTGTGCCTCTGTGGGTGGACACACAGATGCTATGCTGGAGAGGACAAATCACCCTGCCTCCCGCGAGCACTGGTGGCTAGGCTGGGCAAGCGGTAAACACCAGTGCCACACGCAGAACTGATTCCAAAGTCCTTGTGTTGTTTATGAGAACGGGACGGAGCAGCTGCTAGTGCTGCGGGACCAGGGGGGGATGCAGCGAGATCCCTCCCCGAGCCGGTCAGAGGCGACAAGGGCACTTGGCAGCAGCACTGCAGCAGGGGCGGAGGCTCTGCAGCCACAGTCCCTCCTTCGGTCCTCTCCCTCTGACCTCAGGGCCTTTGCACAAGCTGTTCCCTTCGCCAGGATATTGGGACCCCCTCCCACGGTCAATGTCCCTAGATCAAACTTCCAGTTACATCTCACCCCCAACTAGGAAGGAAAACTGCGGGACTGAGCACGCCCCCCACACACACACTGGAGAGGGCGTGCGGGGCCCCTCCGAGGGTCAGCCCCTTCCGGCCCCCAGCCACCCGCCCGGGCCCACCTGGAGAAGGGCGTGGGCCCGGCGCCCTTGAGCTGCAGCTCCCAGCGCTCGCCGGCGGCCGTGCACACCTCGCCCAGGTACATGGCGGCGCCGTCGCCCAGCTGCCCCGCGAACTGGCCAAACTGGTGGCCGCAGTAGCAGTGCGCGGCGGGTTCGGCGCCCGGCAGCAGCGCGTTGCCGCTGAAGAAGAGCGCGGCCTCGGCCTCGCGCGCCTCGCGGGCGGCGGGGTCGGCGGGCGGCGCGCCCAGGCCCAGCAGCGCCAGCGCGGGCTCCGACAGCGCCACGAGGCGCGGCTGGCGCAGCGGCGCGGGCCGCACGCGGCTGAAGCAGGCCCCCGGCACGGGCCTCGGCGAGGACGGGGCGCCCTCGGGACCGGGCGGCGGCGTCTCCACGGGCAGCGCGCGCAGGGCGCGGTTGTCGAAGCGCAGCCCCGCCAGCCAGCGGGGCGCCGGCTCCATGGCAGCGCCGCGGGCAGCGGCCGGGGCGGAGCAGGGCGCGTGCGGCGGACGGTGGCCCAGCGGCGGCGACCGGGCACGGGCGACCGCGAGCAAGGCCCTCACGGCAGCCCCGAGCGCGGCCATCCGCGGCGCCGCTGCGGCGGAAGCCCCTCTGCCCCGACCGGAAGTCCCGGCACGCGTGCCCAGTCACCCAATCGCCTGCGGAGGTGTCTGCTCGTGCGCCTGCGCGGGCCGTGCCCGCGAAAGGCTGACTCTGATTGGCTGCGCCGTGCGTCTGTCCACTCCTGCGGTTCGGCCCCGCAGCAGCCAGGGCGGGGACGGAGGACTTGTCCACCTGCGACCCGTCCGCTTCCGCGGGCCTGCGGCTGGCCGAGTGCTGAAGCGGACCGGGGAGCGTGGGAACCGGGCCGTCTAGAATGACTGGCCTGCGTAACGAGCCAGCAGGTCCCTGGAGGTCCGACCCGGGAAAGACCGGACAGTCGGGGCTGAGAGCTCCGAGTGGGGTGACCGTGCTCAGTGACGTTCCTGGTAGACCACCAGGGGTGCCTCTCAACTCCGGGGTGAAGCCAGGGTCAGCCCGGGCCCCGTGCTGTGCCAAGGCCTGTCTCTGGATCGTCCTTGGCTGCGCCGGGCAGCGGGGCAGAAGAGAAAGAGGTTTTTCAGCTCGGGTCGAGGGTCAGTGTCCGTGGGGATAGGCCAGGAAGAGACCTGGGACGAAGCCAAGGCTGAGATTGGGCAGCGCTCCGGCCAGGCGCCTCCCCAGTGCAGAAGCACCTTTGCTCCTGCTCTGCCTCTGCTTGGGGCAGGAGTCCTCACGTGTCCTGGCTTCCGTGCCCACCCTGCCCATGCCTCTCCTAAAGTGCCTCTAGGAACCCTGTGTTTTCCTTGCAAAGCACTTCCCTGAAACGAACTCATTCCCTCATTTTCCTGTTTCTTCCGTGTCTCTCTCCTCATCCGTGCTCTAGGAGGGCACGGAGTCTTGATGATGTGTGTGCCAGTTCTCCCAGAATAGTGCCTGGCCAAGAGAAACTCCCCATAGATTGTCCAGGAGGTTAGGGAGCGCCAAGCCTGGCCTTAAAGTGTCTGCCCCAGAGAAGTCGGGCTGACTGTTGCAGAATAAGTAACTCCGATGTTCAGCTCAGAGGAGCCTGGAAAAGACCCCTGTGATGCCTGCATGGAGTAGGTCCTTGGAAGGGCTTCCCAACCCCCTCCCCCACCTGGCCCCATATTAAAGCCCAAGACCAGGAGCTATGTGGGAGACCCCAGACAAACCCACAAGCTTCCTCCTGGATGGATTCTACACTTAAGTTCCAGCAGCCTCTTCTGGAACCTTCTCCTGGGGCCACAATGTGGGCTTCCCAGACTTGGGGAACCCCTCAACCTCTCCAGCTCAGGGTCGTCATCCCTGAGAGGGACAAGGACACTACCTTCTGTGTGGAGTACAATGTGGTTAGGTCCCTGCAGGTGCTCAGAGCCCCAGTGTCTCCTCCTGCAGCCTGCCTTCCCCTTGCACCGGAGCCTCACTTGGGGCCCTGTCCGCTTGGCCTGCTATCAGAGTCCCCTATTGCCAGCCTCTTTCCTAACTGCCTAGGGGGCCCGGCCTGAGCCTACTGTCACCGCTCCCCCCTCCCCCAGGTCCCAGGCCCTTCTGACCCATCTCCTTGCCCCCTCACCCCACTGTCTTACCCACACCTTGGAATCTGGTGGGATTGGGTTCTTGAAGGCTCAGGAGTACCAGGCCCTGTGTCCTGCTGCCCTGCCCTCACAGAGGTCACAGCCAGTGTGGGCTCTGGTGGGTGCCAAGGATTCCAGGAGGTCAGCACCAACGGGTAGTGCCTTCCCAGACCTGGTGACCTTGTTTCTGGCCTAAACGTTGGGCTGCACAGCCTCCTGGATTTCCCCAGGCCTGTCCTGGATGGACAGGCCTCCCGGGTGGGCCGGGTCTGAGCAGCCAGGGTGAGTCAGAGCTGAGCTCGGCCCCTCCCCTGTCCTGGCCCCAAGGAAGACACAGCGGACAGCCGGGCTTGAACATTTAATGAGGCTCGGCCACGGATGGGCGGGGGCCTAGGCCTTGAGGGAAGCAGTGGTGCGCACGCGCAGCACGCTGGCGCGCAAGGCGGGCTGGTGGTTGCCTGTGGCCCAGCGCATGCCGGAAGCGGCCCCCGTGTGCTCTGGCCATGGCCCGTTGAGGTCTGCGTGGCCGCAGGCGCTGTACCACCAACCGGCTCCCGAGCGATCGTGGCTGCAGCTGGTGAAGGTCCGGGCGCCATCCGTGCAGGGCGAGCAGCGGTCATGGTCGCGGTCCAGCGTGCTGAAGCCACAGCCCTCCTGGTTGTCCGTCTGGCCCAAGCCCCGGAACGCGTCCCCTGCGCAGTGTGGTGGCGTGGGCGGCAGGCCAGCTGCCCCTCAGGCCCCTGCTTGCGGCCTTGCCATCTGGGGCCCCAGAAGGGCAGGCGCTTGGGGAGGGACAGTCTTCCCCAGAGCTCAGAGGCTGGCAGATGTGGGCCGGCAAGTTGGGGGCTCCAGGGACCCAACCTCCCCCACCCACCCTGGCCTGCTGCAAGAGTCCCCCTCCCACAGCCTAGAGAGCCCAAGGGGCAAAGCAGGACACTTGGGGGCAGGCACAGGGGTCCCTTACCTCCCCAGCACTCACCTGCATTCCCCGAGTACAGGCCAAGGGTCAGCTGGTAAAACTGGTCCTCCTTGTCCACGTGGAAGTTGTCATAGTGGGCCTGAAGTGTGTGGTTGTCCATGTCCAGGAGATCCACCATCAGCTCTGAGCGCAGGCCCGGCTGGGAGGTCAGGCCAGAGATGTGCTCCAGCCCTAGCCAGTGGTCACCTGCAGGAGTGGGGCACCTGGGCAGAGGCTGCTGTGTGATGGACCACCCCTAGCCTCCTCCCGCCATCTCTCTCTTATGTCCCCGGTGGGGATCAGGGCCTTGGGGTGCCGGCTACACCCCTGTGCCCCACGGGCAACACAGTCCTACCTCTCACGTCTCCGAAGCCTTGTTTGTACTCCTGCCAGCACCTCTCAAAGTCCAGAGGCCTCCGCCGGCCCCGGTCTCGGCTCTGAATCACCGTCCAGCCACCGTCCGTGCGCATGTCACAGAGAACCTGGGGAAAGGGCCAGCCCGTGGAGGCAGGCAGGCCTGCCCCTCTCCTGCCCATCCTCCCTCAAACACTGCGTTTGAAAACTGAAACTTTGTTTTTCTACTTGTCAAACGTCATATATCAATTTGCATCACATTAAGTTCACTTTCTCAGAAAAGGGGTCAAGCTTGGCAGTGAGGTCACAGGCCCCCAGGAGGGTTGCTCCGTTTGATGTCATTTTGCACCCTGCTTTGTGGCTTTGTTTTTTCACTTAATGTTGTCTCCTGGGCTCTTTTTTTGTTCACATCCTTCGAGGTGGGAGCCTAGGTTTCTCCAAACCTTTCCTGACTGTAACACAACGTCCACGAACACCTCTGTTCCCCGGGTGTGTCTGAGGACAGACTCCACCAGCAGCGCCTGGCCTCGCTGGCCCTTCTCCTGCTGGGTGGACAGTGCCATCTCTTGTTTTTGTCCAAGTGACACACACATTACCCCCGGGCCCTTGCTGCGGGCTGCTCACCTTGAAGGGGGTGCTGGCTCCCTCTGGCTGGATGGTGTACACGCCACTGCGGGCCCTGGGGCTCTCCACCCAGATATGAGAGCAGTCCCTCCCTGTGGGGGATATGGCCAGGAAGGCTCAGGGCCTGGGGAGGGGCCATGCCCTCTGTGACTGGAACCAGAATCCTCCTCCTGCAGACACCCTGTGACAATCTGGCGGATGATTTACGACCTTGGTCCTGGTGGGTGGGTGGCCAGTCCCCTCACCTCGGGCCATACCTGTCTCAGGCCTCTTCGGAAATGGCTGTGCCTTGGGCTCTGCCAATTTGCTGGCCCCCCAGCCCTCGGCCAGACCCTCGACTCTTCCCGAGGCCCCTGGACACCACCTCACACCCTCACCTGCTGCCCGTGGAAGGTCAGTCTTGGCTTCCCTACCTTCCTCCTCCTGGCCTGGCAGTGGTCTGAGGGCTCCCCCGAGCCCAGCTGGCGTTAGGAGGGAATACAGTGGGGACTGGTCCTTGCCTGCCCTCCCCCCACCCAGGCTCTTCTGGGCAGGGACCCAGCCAGGTCCTCATGGGGGGTGAGACCTGCTGGGTGGGGACCTGTGGGTGACAGGTGGGAGGCTGTCCGGCTTGGGCCCACCTGGTGGGCCCCTCCCTCTGCCCCCCCCCCAGCCAGACCTTGGGGTTCCAGAAGCACCAGTGGCACCTGTGGAGAGAGGACCCTGGTGAGAGGCAGGCTCAGTGGCTCTGGGAGTCCCCAGCTCATCTCAGGCTGGTGAGACCCGCTGGTCTGATGGCCACTCTTACCAGCCGTCGATACTGCACCACGGAGTTGGCCTGGGGCGCAGAGAGGAAGAGGAGAGCAGCAAGACCCAGCACAGGGCAGGCAGCCATGCTTCCTGGGGGTGCAGACATGGTGGGTGGAGAGCCCAGCCCAGGGCCCTACCGGCCTCCCTTCACGCTCCCCGGGTGCTCACTGCTGTCCTTCAGGGCAGAGCTGAGCCACTGGTCCCCAGCACCTTTTGTGCGGGCGCTGGGCTCACCCTGCCTCCTCCCCTCCCAGGTGCCGGGGCGGGGAGCCTGAGGGCGTGGACAGGGAGGTGAGGGCCGGGCGCTCTTCTGAGCACACTTCCCCTTGGCGGGTGTCCTCGCTGGGCCTGGGGGGGGCACCTCCTGCCCTAGCCCTTGAGTCCCGCTTCCACACATTTCACAAAACAGGAGCTTCCAAAATTAGACTTTATTTCAGTTCCTAAGGAATGTGTACACACGCCTCCGTGACAGGAACAACACGGCCCAGGCCAGTTCACGGCCCTGGGTTTCACCTGATTTTGTCAGACACTGAGTCAGCACAAGCACAACTGAGCAGGACCCCAGGCCCCAGGTGGGCCGCACAGATGCCGCGTCACAGACACATGACCAGGCGTGGCGACGACACACACGGGAGACGCCCGGGGTGGGTGCCCCGTGTGGGGCGGCGGGATGGTGGCTGGCACTCGCCGGCCCGTGTGCCAACTGGGGGGCCCTGGCGGACACACGCCCTCTGTCCGTTGAGAGTGCGGGACGGGGAGCAGGTGCGATCCTCCATGGCCGGGGGGAGGCTCAGGTCTGGCGGGGGGGCTGCAGCCCTGGACGCCCCCCAGCCAGGGGCTGCCCGAGGGGACAGCTTGGGGGGGGCAGCGTCCAGAGGCCGGCCGGGCCCCGCTGCTAAAGCCAACCCTTCCCCAAGGCTCGCCGGCTCAGAGCTGAGTGCCCCCTATCTCCCCCCACCAACACACCCTCTTTGTCCCAATCAGATTTAAGGCTAGTATTTCCTGACATTGACTTCAGTTTGTTTTAAGTTAAAATTACCTGAGTAAAAAAAATTCAGACATTTTTAAAAGCCAAAACCACACCACCTCTGCAAGGAAAGCGGCTACCAAGCTCGGGCCAGCTGCCCCGTCGGGAGGTGGGCTCCCTGGAGCCACTCGAGGGCTGCTCCGGCCCCTCCCAAACGTGCTGGCGGGAACCCCGCGGCCCAGAACCCACCGTTGAGTCGGTCCCGGGCCGGGGCTCCGCCGCCAGCGCATGACAAGGCACAGTGAGGTAGGGGAGGGCTGGCTGTGCCCACCTCGGCCCCTCCCCCACCAGCTCGTCCTGATGCCCGTGAACCCCGTGAACCCCAGGAGTGGTCCCTGCAGGGTTGGGGATGGGGTGGGGGCAGGGCTGCTGGGAAGCCTGAGCTCAGAGCAGTTAAATAATTCTTTATTTGGGCGGGTTGGGGGAGGGCAGGCGTGGCTGGGCCTGGACCCCCACGGGGGGTGGCGCCCAGAGCTCCTCGGGGTCGGGGGGGGGGGGCCGGCCCCAGTGCCTCTCAGCTGCTGCAACTCGGGAGCCGCCGCCGCGGTGTTCGTCCTTCCTATTTGTGCGGCCGGGCCGTGGATGCCCTCTGCAGACAGTACTGAGTGACAGGCAGTGACAGGACCAGGCTGGTGGCGCGGCGTCCCATCCAGTAGAGGCCATAGCCCAGCAGGCCCAAGAAGGCAGCCTTCACGGCCAGCCGGGACACTCTGCCGGAGACGGACGGCGGGGGCACGCTGGGGAAGGGAGGGCGGGCTGGGCCTGGCTCAGGGTGGGGGGGGCACGTGCGCCCCCAGCCCCAGCATGGCTGCCGCCCCCTCCCCAGGCCCCACTCTGTGCTGGGGGACGGCGTGGGCGGGCAGGCGGTACTCACGTCATGATCTCCTGGATGTTGAGGTCTGTGGTCCAGTTCTTCTCGATGCCCGGGACGTGGCCCATGCCCACGACACCCACCACGACGGAAGGGACGCACTTCCTGGGCTCAGCTGTGGGGGAAGCGGCGCGTCAGCAGCGGCCTGGTGGTGCCAGTGCCCGGAGAGCCCCCGCCCGGGCCGGCCGTCGCGGTCACCGTCGGAGGAGCGTGGCAGCTCGAGGCGCCGGGCGGCCTGCCTCAGCATGTAGGTCAGGTAGACGTCACGCTCCGAGACGATGGTGCGGTGCAGGTCGGGAAACTCGCCGATCATCTCGGCCATCATCTGCTCGAGCAGGTCCTTCTGCTTGCAGCGCTCCACGTCATCCTTGCTGGGGGCAGAAGGCACGCTGCCAGCCCCGTGGGGACGGGGCGGCCAGCAGGAGGCTGGTGCTGTTGACCCAGGGCAGGGACCTCCGCACCCTTTGTGTTTGGGCTCACGGCGGAAGGAAGGGGTGGGAAGGCCTTGTTTGAGGAGGCTTAGCCCAAGAACAAGGGGGCTGTGTCGCACGGCGGGCCCCGGGCCACTCTTCCTGGGTGGGGCTGCCCACGGGAGGCTGAGGGGCCCTACCTGATGGGGTCTGACAGGAAGCACAGGCCCCAGGCCAGCTTCACTTTCTGCCAGAAGGACAGCGCCGCGATGGCCCTCTTGAAGGTGACGGGGATGGGCCGGTCGCCCAGGTGGAACTTGCAGAAAGGCACCTTGCTGGCCTGGGGCAGAGGCTGGGTGTTGGCTGGGGAAGCCTGAGCCCCGGGCAGGTGCCCAGGCACTGAGCCCCCTTCCCGGCTGAACCCAGGCCCACCTCCTTGAAGGCCTCCCTGAACTCGCCACCAGGAGCCATGCCCAGCTGCTCGGTGATGTGGGCCGACACTTTCAGCAGCAACATCTGCATGAGTCCCGACATGACGCCGTTCTGCAGGGGAGGGAGCCGACAGTCGGCGGCCATGTGGGCGCTGAGCACAGGCTTCCTCAAACGTGAGGGGAGGCCTCGCCTGCGTTCTGGGACTGAGCGAGGGCCGTGGACAGGCGGCCACATCCACAGTGGATGCCCCTTCCCTCCTGCCCCTCCAGCCCAGACCTCAACTCCTCTGCCCATGTACCCCCGAGGGGCATATGTCATGCTGGGCTGGCGGGGACTCTGAGAACCCCCCCTCCCCTTTGCCGAGCTCCTTGGGGTCCCTGTCCAGGTCTTCCCTGGGGGTTGAAGCTCACCCACCTTACCTGCCTTGTCTGAAACCCAATAAAGGCATATGCCCTCTCCCGCCCCAGGCCAGGGCCCCAGGGCGGGCTGGGCACCTCCACACTGCCTGGAAGGCCATGTGCTCACAGGTGGGCAGAGCAGGGAGCGTGGCTGCCTGGGGAGGGGTGCACAGCCCGCGCCCGCCCGACACCGCACCTGCCTCACGGCTTGCTGCAGCTTCTCCAGGCTGAGCTCCTTGGCCTCCTGGAGCAGCGTGCTCTCGTCCATCTTCAGCATGGACACACGGTACTGGCAGAGCTCCACCACCACCACGTCGGGCTGCACTTCCCGGATGGTCTGCAACGGACGAGCCAGCTCAGCCCACAGCGCGGACCCTGACCCTGATGGTCTGCAACGGACGAGCCGGCGCAGACCCTGACCCTGATGGTCTGCAATGGACGAGCCAGCTCAGCCCCCAGCACTGACCCTGACCCTGATGGTCTGCAACGGACGAGCCTGCTCAGCCCCCAGCGCGGACCCTGACGGTCTGCAACGGACGAGCTGGCTCAGCCCGGTGCCCGCCCCCAGCGCGGACCCTAACCCTGATGGTCTGCAACGGACGAGCCGGCTCAGCCCCCAGCACGGACCCTGACCCTGATGGTCTGCAACGGATGAGCCGGCTCAGCCCGGTGCCTGCCCCCAGCACGGACCCTGACCCTGATGGTCTGCAACAGACCAGCCGGCTCAGCCCCCAGCGCAGACCCTGACCCTGATGGTCTGCAACGGACGAGCCGGCTCAGCCCGGTGCCTGCCCCCAGCGCAGACCCTGACCCTGATGGTCTGCAACGGACGAGCCGGCTCAGCCCCCAGCGCGGACCCTGACCCTGATGGTCTGCAACGGACGAGCCGGCTCAGCCCCCAGCGCGGACCCTGACCCTGATGGTCTGCAACAGACCAGCCGGCTCAGCCCCCAGCGCAGACCCTGACCCTGATGGTCTGCAACGGACGAGCCGGCTCAGCCCAGCGCCCGCCCCCAGCACGGACCCTGACCCGGATGGTCTGCAACGGATGAGCCGGCTCAGCCCGGCGCCCGCCCCCACCACGGACCCTGACCCTGATGGTCTGCAACGGACGAGCCGGCTCAGCCCGGCGCCCGCCCCCAGCGCGGACCCTCACCCTGATGGTCTCCAATGGACGAGCCGGCTCAGCCCGGCATCCGCCCCCAGCGTGGACCCTGACCTGGATGGTCTGCAATGGACGAGTTGGCTCAGCCCGGCACCCGTCCCCAACGCGGACCCTGACCCTGCAGGTGGAGGCCACGCTGGGACTGACCGAGAGGCCCATCCCCAGGGGGCCACCTCAGCTGCCGTGGCGACAACTCATTTAAGTGACTGAGAGAAAGCAACACAACAGCAAAGTGCACAAGGCCACGAGGGCTCCGTGGCCTCAGAAACCCCTTTTCTGAGGGGCACTGCAGTCACGCAGGAGAGCGGCAGCTCACAGGATGGGGCCGCTCGGCCTGAGGCCAGCCCCGCGTGATGGGCCTTACCTTCACCACGTCCTTCTTGCTGTCGTCACTGAAGTGGGCGGTGCCCACCACGTACACCCTGCTCCCATCCTCAGCCACCAGCTCGGTCACCGTGCGCGGCAGGCTGGGCCGCTCTCGCCGCCTCCTCAGCTTCATCTCCAGGAGCAGGGTCAGCGCGTCCGCGTCGGCTGCAAGGACAGTAGCTCAGCTGGGGTGCCGTGCACACTGGTGGCCTGGGCTCCCGGTTCTCAGGGCTGAGCCACACCTGGGGCCCAGATGCACACAGGGGCACGCGACCCCGAGCAGCACCGCCCACGGGGGTCCCTCCCAGCTGCGACGAGCCGGTCCCTGCTCACTACGGAGTGCAGCTGGGCACAGCACCGTCTGACGAGACCCTCCCTGTGGAAAGGGTCCTGGGCCTCGGGAAGCTCTGCATCCTCCACAAGGGGGAGCCCCCAGCCATCACGGCCTCCATGGTGTCTCTGAAGCACTCAGCCCCCCACCCCAGGGAAGGGGCTCCTGATGGAGCTCCACCAACCCTGCCTATGCTCCAGAGCCTCCTCCCCAACAACCCGGGGCTGGCCCGGGCCGCTGGTCGCCAGACTCAGATCACCCAGTCCGAGCCCCTTCTGCCAGGGAGCTGCCCCTGCCCCCCAGCCCTGAATGATTTCAGGGAGCACGCACACAGGTTCTGGGATTCTCCAGAAAGCACCCTGGGCACCACCTCTGAAGCCCCCACAACAGGTTCCATGTCGGCCTGCAGAGGGAAGGGAATGTGTGAGTCGGGGTGCCCACCCTCCCTGGGGCCTGCCTGGGCTCAGGGCACCCACTTGTCCCCAGAGGGGCCCACCTAGGACTTGGGCTACTGCTCCATCATCTCCACATGCTCCCCAGCATTCAAAGCCTCTCTGTGATCATTGCCTTGTGTGCAGCCCACCCCCAGGGCTCCCTGCCCCAAGGTCCCCCTAGGCTGACCCTCTGGTCAGGAAAACCACACAAAGCTCTCCTATAGAAGCAGCCAGAGTGATCCCAGGCGGCCACATGGAGGGGGGACCCACACTCCGCTGACCAGCTGGCTGGACCCTGAGCCCAAGGTCGTACAAGAAGCAGACCCCCCACACCCCAGCATCTGGCCCAGGCCTCTGACCTCCTGAGGTGGCTGGCCCTGCTCCTCCTCCCCCTCCATGGCTGGGTAGCGGCTCCTGGCACCGATGAGTGAAGCCTGAGGAGACAGAGGAACCATGTTCGCACCTGGAACCCCAGGGCCGTGCCCAGTGCTCAGTCTGTTTTGAAAGATCCATGGGTGGGATCACAGGCTCTGCATTTCCAGCTAGATCGTCACCTGTCCACCACCAGCTATGGAGGTCCAGGGTCCCTTGTGACCGGGCACGGTAGGTGTGGGACCTGTACACCCTGCACCACGGGGCTAAGAACAGGGCTGGGGACGCCTGGCTTTGCCCCAGCCGGTGAGCTGGGGGTCCTCTGTGTCACCAGACAACTGCCAAAGACAACGGACCATTCAGACCTCCAGGGCCAAGGGGAATCAGGAGCCCGAGACCTGTGTCAGGCCGTGGGGTTCTGGACGCCGGAAGGGCCGGCAGCACTGACAACGCAGACTTCACCCACGCTTCCCCAAGATGCCACGGGAAAACTCAGCCCCGAGTCTGAGTGCAGGGGTGGCCGGCACAGCGGGGGAAAGCAGCCTGAAATGCGGAGCCCCTGGAGAAGGCTGACTCGTGACTGCAGGCCGTCACTCCGACTGGTTTGAAGCTGTGGTGTGGTGTCCTGTTTGGTTCTGGAGTCTGCCTCTGTCCCACGTGCACCAGGGGGTGGAGGGGTGCGGAGCGGCACTGTGGGGAGCGCCCACCGGAGCTCCGCGGCCCAGGGGCTGTCGATGCTCGCGGGCCTCGCTTCAGTCCCACCCTCACGCCACACCTCTCCACGTTTCACAATAGAAGGAAGAGCACGTGGTAGAGCAAGACGCTGCGTCAGGTTCACTTCCCCTCTGAGCGCCGCAGTCACAAGGGGCAGTGAGCCAGCACCTCCCTGCTTCCCCCTGAGCCCGTTTCCTCCTCAGCAGCAGGAGGGACCCGCCACCTGTGCAGGCAGCTCAGAGATGGAGCAGGGCTCCTCCCAGTTTAACCAAACGCCTGATCTGGTGTCCAGGGACACTCGGACAGGCCTTGGAGCTGACCGGGGGGGGGGGGGGTGGGCAGCCCATCCTGAGGATGGCCAGGTTTCTGAAAGAAATACAGTCACAGTAAGGGTCAGAAAGAGGAACTGGCTTAGGGCCAAAGGAAGCAGCTAGGCCCTGGTGGGAGGTTGGCCAGCAGAGAAGGGTGGCTGGGGAGGGGAAAGAAGGCCCGGCCTTCTAAGCGCTCCTCCCAGAGTACCTCCTGTCCAGGATCCCCAAAGCCCCGTCTTCCCGCTTTACAGATTAAAGCACTCCACCAATGCAAGATGCCAACTAAGTACAAACAGGAAACGGTGTCTGAAGCTCGAGGGCAGGGCTGAACGGTCAGGGGTGCTGGGCCTGCCCCTCTTCAGGCCCCTGAGCTGGCCCAGGGGGGCAGGTGGAGATGCCGGTCCTTAGTCCAGCTTTACACAAAAAAGCAAACAGTTCTTACTTCCAAGCAGCACAAGGCTGCCAAAGTACCAGAAAAACTTCTTAAGAAAACATCCTGTGCTCTGGCAGGGAGGCTCCCATTAACAACCAGCAAATGTGAGGTCACCACGTTGTCGTTGTTGCCACAGCCTTCCCTCCCACGGGTGTGGTGGTGGCAGGTCTGGGGCTTGGCAGCCCTCACCTGCCCTGGGGCAGTGTGGCCAGACCCACCCTCTGAAGCCCAGGAGGAAGCCTGTACCCACAGGGGACAGGCCGGCCCCACCGCGCACAGGCTGGAGGCACCTTTCCGGGTGGGCCCTTCCTGAGTCCTGCCTCCTGTGGGCTGGGGGTATGCGGGTGGCAGACGAGCCTGTCAGGCCTAAAGCCCAGCCTTGAGCCTGTTTTTTTTTTTTTTTTTTTTTTTTTATTTTATTTCAAGATTTTATTTATTTATTTGAGAGAGAGAGAATGAGAGACAGAGAGCATGAGAGGGAAGAGGGTCAGAGGGAGAAGCAGACTCCCCGCTGAGCAGGGAGCCCGATGCGGGACTCGATCCCGGGGCTCCAGGATCATGACCTGAGCCGAAGGCAGTCGCTCAACCAACTGAGCCACCCAGGCGCCCCAGCCTTGAGCCTGTTAAGTGCCAGGACCCGGGTCCCCTGGAGCTCTCTGTCCCACTCCCTGCAGCTGCTCCCCAGAGATGGGTGCCTGGTCTAGTCAGGCAGGAAGGCCACTGAGGCCCCTTCAGCACTGAGTCCGTGATTCTGAGAAGCCTCTTTCTCTGATGCTGCCGCATCCACACACTTTCCAATACCCTGGTTTCTCTCAACCTCAGAGGTGGGGTCCCCTGGCAATACCCTTGTAGAATGTCATTTCAGTGGGTTGTAAATTTCAAATATTTATGGCTGGGGCCTGAGCCTTTCCCAGCTGCCAGGAGGGAAGCAAAGGCCCCCACAGACCTCCGAGCCCAGGCCCCACCTCTCTGCACCCACCAGTGGCTGCCGGGGAGCACCCACATCCCTCCTGGTTTCCTGCCACACACTCTCTGGATCTAGAGGTCCCAGCAGTTCCTCACACCACTGCAGTGACAAGCAGAGCCCTGGCTGACACCCTCGAGGGGAGACAAAGGTGTCCCTTCCTAAATCCACAGCCCAGTGTGTAGCCCTGCTACTGGGCCACGGTCCAGCCACCAGTGCTGGGGGCCTCTGGAACCTGGCACAAAGCAGGAAGAGCCTTCTGCCAGATGCAGCAGCTACCCACTCCCTCTGACCAGCTGTCACTGCCAAGCAGGGCTGTCCACCGAGATGACCTGTGGGCAGATGCCTCAACTGTGCTGCAGGGGATGGCCTGGGTTTGGCCAGATCTCAGACCAGCCACTTGGTGCTGCATGGCCCCGGGCAGGACTCTCCAACCTGCTGGGACTCTTAGCTCCTGCCTCCGGGATGGAGGTGGTTAGAGCCATCACCCAGACGTCCCATCTGTCTGCACACAGTAGGCCCTCTCCCAGCTAAAGATGTGTGCCACACGTAGATTTCACTTCAGCTCATGATCTATAGACCTCTGTGGGCTTCCTCCTGTATGGGCAGGAGCAAACCCCATGGGGCACGAAAGAACCAACAGTCTGATTTCAGGGGACAATGGAACATGAGTCTTCCCTGGCCGTCTCCTTATCTGTAGAGGGATACACCATGATCTGGCTCTGGAAATCATAATGCTGCACACAGAGGACAGCAGCAGAATCACCACAAGCTTTCAGGAAAACAAACTCCAAAGTGGTGGGAATTCCCAACAGCCCCAGGAGGAACCACCCTGCCCAGTACTCCAAGAAAAGCACCTGCTCAAAGGACAGGAAAAGCCCCACTTGCACTAGGGACCCACCTGGGGTGTACAGCCCTGAGATACAAATCAAAGTAACACGTTAAGTTGTTCTGCACTGGAGGACGTTGTTAGCATCTGAAAATGTTTTGCTGGGTGTCCATTTCAGGACAGAAGCAGAGGACATCAGACAGTTCAGTGGGAGTGGCAGACCCAGGTTCCTGCTGGCCCAGCCCAGGCAGGGATGGGTCCCATTGCTACGCACTGAACTGCGTCCCCCCAAATTCATATACTGAAGCCCTAATCCCCAGGGTGATGGTGTTTGGAGGTGGGGCCTTCGGGAGGTGACTAAGGTTACTGTGAAGTCATGAGGGTGGGGCCCCATGATGGTATTAGGGCCCTTATGAGAAGAGACACCAGAGATCTGGCTGTGTGAGAACACAGTGGGAAGACAGCCATCAGGAAGCCAGGAAGAAAAAGCCCTCATCAGCAACCACCCTTGATCTCGGACTTCCAGCCTCCAGAGTTGTGAAAAAAATCTGCTATTTAAGCCCCATCTCTGCTGTTTGTTATGGCTGCAGAGCAAGCTGAGACACCCATCTCTGCCCCCCTCGCCCTTCAAAAAACTGGAAAGCCACAAACTGCCTCCCGGATCCCAGACTGGCTTCTCAGTGTGGCCAAGACCTGACCAGCACCAAATGGAGTTCCCAGAAAAGCCTGCATCTCCCAACCAACCCACTAGGCTTGCTCAGAAACTCAGAGGTCCCAATCTGGACAGACCAGTGGGCTGTAGAAATAAATGTCCAGCTGGGAGATGGCAGGATGTGGCCAAAGCTCTGACCTCCCCAATGCCCCCATTTCTTAAGCCTGGGCACCCCTGGCCACTTGAGACCCCCCCTGAGTCTGGCAGCACCTGCTTTATGGAGGCGTGGCAAAGTTTGGGATTGGGATAGAGGATATATGCCCACTTGTATCTGAGCTGGAGGCCTGAATGGCTCCTTTTCCAGCACACCTGACTGACCCTCCTGGAGCCTGGACACTGCCCATTGCCAGGCCCCCACACTGACCAGCACTGGAAGGCGCTGTGTAGGGGTCTGGCTACTCACCCTACCAGGCTCTCTCCTGGCAGCCTCAGACACCATAGCATCACGGCCGTTCTGTAAGACTGACCAGTGGTCCCAGGGTCAAGGGTCCCTTCCAGTCATGCTGCAAGGGGGTGAGCAGGAGCAAAAGGGGCGGCAAGAGACCCAGAGAGAGCTGAGCCTGCCCAGGAGTGCAGTGAGCCTGGTGGCCGCACATCTCCCTCTCCAGGGCACCCCAAAAGCCAGTGGGATTCCACCTGGAAACCACCCATTCTCCTAACGAAGCTGTCCTGACCCCCAAAGGTGGCAAGGACTTGTGAGCGGAGTTCCTAGTTGTTTTTGAGAGGCCGATACCAAGGCGGCCTTGCCTCTCCGGGGAGAGTTTTTACAGACTCTCACACGCGCTACTTTGTGGCACAGAAGTTACACCTCCATACGACTGCTTCATGGAAACAAAGTGGAGACTGTCGCTGGCCTCTGAAGTTCGGCTGCGCGCACACTGAGGGAGACCTCCGCTCCACTCTGCCATATGGCAGCCCTACTCGCTCGGCTTGAAGGGCAGAGGCCACCAGCACTCGGGAAGGGCCCGGGGTCTCCGCCGGGAGAGGCCCGCGGCCCCCGGCCCGCCCCACCCGAGCCCTCAAGCCCTCTCCCCCGCCCCCCTCCCCTCGAGCCCTGGCCGCCGACCCGGCCCCGCGCGCCCTCCTTACAGGCCTGGGCTGACCCTTCCAGCCCCAGACCCCACGCTAGGGGCTGACTGGGCCCGGTCCAGAGCGAGGTGGCCCCCGTCCCCGACTCGACCCCGACCCCTGCCCGTCAGCCGGGGCCCGCGCCGCGCAGCGTACCGAGGCGGGGCGGCGCTCCTCAACCGGCCTCCATGCGGCTAGTCGCCCCACCGGACGGGGCGGACCGGGGCCGGGACCGGGGGCGGAGCGGCCGGACGGGCCGGGGCCGGGGGCGGGCGGCGCGCGGCATGCCGGGAAGCGCAGTTCCACGCGCCGCCCGTCCGCTCCGTCGGCGCGCTCGGTCCGCGCCGCCGGACTACACTTCCCAGAAATCCGCGCGCGCGAGCGCCCGCGGACTACACTTCCCAGGAGCCGTGCGCGAGCGCCCGAGGACTACACTTCCCAGGGGGCCGCGCAAGAAAAGCCCCGCTCCGACCCCGGCGCCTCTGGTTCTAGGAAGAAGGAGATTCTGGAGACGTGAGTTCGAGTCCCCGGGTCTGTGGGGGAGCCCGGCGGCCTTGCAGAGCACTCTTAAATTCTCTGACCGCAGCTCCCAGTCTGTAAAAGGGATGATGTTCCCGCGATGTCAACGCCCAAGGGGCAGCCTATAGTGGGATGGGAGGAGCAAAAAACTCGGGTTGTGGAGCAAGCCCACGTGCCTCTACCTGGGTTGGGGGTGCCTAGACTCCCGCGCGCTGGCGACCGGGCCATCCCTCGACTTGGTGGGTGGAGTCCCCTGGGAGGGCAGGCGCCAGGGGTCCTGCTGCCTACCTGGCTGAGACCTGGACCCCAAGCCCCGGAGGGGTGTTTGATGGGCGGTCTCAGATCAGGCGGACCCCAGCGAGCCTGGAGCCACAGACCCACTGCCGCGGAGGGGCCCCAACCGCCATGTCTCTGGCCCCTCATCGTCCCCATTTGGTCAAGTGGGCGGTGGGGGGTGGGAGGCGGACTCCCAGTAGGGTGTCCCGCGGCTACCCCCCTCTTCTCCCCACGTGGAGCGCCCCCGGCCGCCCACCCCCACTGCCTGGGCCCTGGAGGGGGCCTGGGGCCTGCTGCCCTCGCCTGGGCCCTCCTCCATCCTCGCAGGGTGGTTCTGGGCACCCTGCCGCTGGTGGATGTGGGGACGGCTTGCCTGCTGGCCACACGCGGACCCCCAGCCAGCTCCACTGAAGCTTGTGTCCAGCTCAGGGCCGTGGGACGACTGGCTGGCTGGGGGCCTCAGTAGCTGGAGCAGGCTGCCTGCCCTTCAGTCTGGAGCTACCTGGGAGTGAGGGCACAGTCCAGTCCAACCCCCACTGGGCCTGGACCTGCTGGGCCAATCCACCAGCACTCAGAGCTGGGCACTGGGCTGCCCCTCAGGTTCCAGGAAGAGAGGCCCTGGCATTGGTGACTTGTAGGGGTCACAGGTTCCCGTGTTCTTTGGTGGGGTAGTCCTGGGGTCCAGCTGATGTGGGAGATAATCCCCCGGCCACTCTTGGTACCAGGCTGGGCTGTTTGCCCGCTGAGCTCTGTATACAGGGGACTCCAGGCTGACGCTTCTGGGGCAGGCTTGCCGCCCACCTCCCTCCTACGGCTTCTTGGTCCCCGAAGGGCCCGGCTGGCCTCAGGGAGGCCTCTGTCCTCCTTGGTACGTGCTCCTCCTGTCCAGTTACTGTTCCGTCCCTCTGTGCCGGCTCAGGTCGTTTCTGCGTCCCAGCCACCTTGGCCGCCTTCTCAGGAGCGCGCACTGTGTGCCAGGCAGCGTGCGGTGGGGCCTGGGGCGAGTCTGGCTGCTAGGCCCATGCTGTGCTGGCGTGCCAGGAAGAGGCCTGGGTTCCAGTCTTGCCTGTGTGGGAGCCTCTTCTTTTCTGAGGCGGGGCCAGTTGCCCCCGGCCGCTGCAGTGCCCTGGCTACAGGGAAGGGGTGAGGAGATGAGAGGTGGGTGGGGGGCTTCAGACCAACACTAGAGCTGATGGGGTGCCCTCCTGCACAAGCGGGGTCAGATGGCGGCCCTCGGCACCTGCAGGGAGAGCTTGGCTTCTACGGGATGATGACTTGGGCTCTTCTCTTGCCCAGCAAACCAGGGCAAGGGTTCAGCTCAAGCTGACGGCACTGCGTGTGCTCCGAAGGACGGACCTCTGCGGGATGAGACTTGCTCTGCAGTGTCCTGCTGGGTGTTGGCCCCGGGGACAGGTGGCTGAGAGCCTGACAGAGCAGTCTCCTCAAAGACATGGAGGTGGCTGCGCTGGGGGCCTCCTCGGCAGGTGTGCGCTAACCGTACGTAGACATGTGTGTGTGAACATCGCTCAGCCCGCGGTACTGGTGCTCACTGGCAGGGGAGGGTGCACGAGACCGGCCTGCTGCCTGACCCAGGCAGCGAACGCCTCTGCGGGGCTCTGGGGCCATCTCCACTTTGAGTGCAGTCACTGGGGCAGGGGCAGGGATGACCGGTGCAGGGCCCAGCTGAGCTCTGCACGTGGATGGGCAGGGTGGGCAGGTAAGTGTGGCCTTGGATGGCTGGGGAGGTTGGACTGGACTCCAGCCACACTCAGGGAATGGCGGGTGGCGGGGGGGGGGTGAGGGGGCGTGGCAAGAGCTGCGGACTGGAGTCCCCCAGGTGGGCACAGCTACCCTGCTCACAGGGTCATGGAGCCGGTTGGTGGTGTGGACCAAGGTAGGGGGGAGCTGCTGAGGGACCAGGGGCTTGTCCCCACTCTGCAGAACTGGTCCTGTGGGCATGTGGGGTCCCTTCCCTGGACACATGGAAATGGTGAGTGCCAACCCAAGGGGCAGTGGGCTTCACAGCCTGGGATGCTGGGCGGGAAGTGTCCTGGCTCAGGTGAGGCCGAGTGCTCTCTGGGGACAGGGTGTATTAACAATGCCTTTTCATTTTCTGATATTTTGACATTGGGCCAAGTTGACCCTGGAAGGTCGGCCCCTCCCAGGACTAATTCCTAGAAACAACAAACTCCCATGTACAAACCAGCTGACCCGGAGCCCCGGCCCACCACCCTCTCTGTGGGGCTCCCACCCTCGGGGCCTCCCTCACCTGCTCCCACCACCTAGGGCAGGTGCCCGACAGCCAGGTGAGCCCGGGTGAACCTGTGGTCAGTATTCACGCAGGCCAGTCCTAAGCCTGTTCACCTGCCTCGTCCGTTCCTTCCTGCGGAAACCACAGGAATGGCTCCTGCCCTCGTCCCCCTCCCGCTCTGCCTGCTGGTGCTTCCCCCAGCGGCCCCCAGCCTGGGCACGGCGTGCCCCCTCCTCCTGGGGGAAGCTGTCTTCCCGATGGCGGCTGTCTCCTGGTCGCAGGCCTCAGCAGACCTGAGTGATAATAAAACCACATTTAAAGTCCATGGAGGGATGCAGTCCCTTGTCTGTGTCCCTGTATGATGAGCCAGCTCCAGGGAAGGTCAGCCTGCCCAGCTCAAGGCCGCCCCGGGGATTCCAGGTGCCGGGCCGGGCAGGTCTCTGGGCAGCACAGCAAGTGGGCTCACACTGGTCTCAGCCAGGCCCCCCTGGCCCCCCGCTCTAGGGCCCACAGGTTTCTGGCCTGGCTGCCTCAGCTACCTGGCTCCAAGGAGCCTCTGTTCAGATTCTCGGGGTCCCCAGCCATGGACCGAAGGGCATGTGGGTCCATGGTGTACCCGTAAGACTAGGCTCATCCCACCTGAGTCGTGGGCCCAGTGAGGAGGGCCCCCTGCCCTGGGTCCCTGGAACATGAGGGGCACCCCCAGGCCGTATCAAGGGGACCTCTTCCGGGAAGATTTTGTGGCTCTCCCTGTTCCCCTAAGCGTACCCAACAGGCCCCTGTCCCCAAGCATCTGATGGAGGGGACAGCCTCCTGGGGGCTCCTGCCTTTGCCTCTGCTGAGCCTGTGAGCCCAGGGAGGGCAGGGCTCACCTGAACTACCCCCCAGGCCTGGAGAGCATGCCTGTCAGAGGTCATGGAAGGTCAATGGCAAGTGACCACCACGTGCTCCTGCCTCACGGTGGGTGCAGCCGGGCCCCCAAGGTGGCCTGGGGGGCAGCATCCCCTCGTGACGATGGTGGGTGGAGGGCAGCTGGCCCAGACGCGGCAAGCCCAGTCAGAGCACAGGTCTCCTGCAGGGCGGACCACACGGGACTCAGGTGGTATCAGAATAATATTTATTGATCTGCTCGGTGCTACCTTGTTAATACTGTCACGTTGTCACCGTGGCTGAGGTAATAGGGACAGACCCTCCGAGCGCCGGCCCTGGGTCCCCACGGGAAGCAGCGTGGGTCCTTGGGTGGGGGCTGGTGGCCTGGGTGGGGGGACGTGGTTATTGCGTTGGACTCCTTCCCTTGCACGCCGGCGTCCACACCGACTCAGCTCCGTGCCCACTCACGCACACATCCACTCGCACACCGTGCCCTCGCCTCTCCCTCACGCGCCCACGCACACGCCGTCCAGTCTCCTGATCACGTACGCTCAGTAGTTACAGTAATCATAGTAAAATAAAGTACAGGTATGTTGGGATACAAGGAGAAAGTGCATGTTGATCTGATGGAGGGTGGACCCCGGCACCTCCCACTGCAGGAGGGAGCCCTGAGCACGGCCCCTTGGGCATAGCCAGGCCTGGTGGTGTGATCACCCCCAGCTTCCTTCCAGGCTCAGGACCAGAGTTGTCCTGCCTTAGCCTGGGCCCAAGACAAAATCGACTAAAAAAATAAACTCTTCACCTCACAGCCGAGTGCCTGATGCAGGGATGGGGGGGTGGGGCGGCTCCAGGCCTTTCTGGCTGGGGGCTCCGCTGGGGTCAAGGCCAGCCCCTGGCCCAGCCAGCACCCCAACGATGCTGTCTTGGGGGGCGGGTGGGCCAGGTCTCAGCCCCGGGACATGCGGACAGGAGGCCAGGAGGTGCGGGCAGTGCTGGGTGAAGCAGAGACCACATCCCCGTGGGGCTGGGGGCCGCGGCACTCCTCGGTCATGCGGAGGGCTCTGTAATGGCCCGGGCAGCCCTGTTCCTCAGAACTCCACGGTACTCACTACTGTCCTCGGCTCGTCAAAGGTGGCGATGAGGATCTGCTGGGGGGGCGGGATGGCAATGAGGCTGCCCACATCTGGGGGAGCCCGGGGACCCCCGTCGTCCTCTTCCCGGGCTTCATACAGCGTGCTGATGTGCAGCAGCGGGTGTGTGGCATTGCGGCTCAGGATCGCGAGCGGGTCAGCTTTGCCCAGAGTGGCTGGCGACAGAGGGGCTGTGGCGGGGGCTGCTGGGGGCGAGCGGACGTGAAACGGGCCCCCGGAAGGAAGCGTGGCCCGGGCTGGCTCTGCTGGGTACAGGATCTCCTTGTCAGGGAGCGGAGCATCTGCAAACAGCCGAGAACACGGGCAGGTCACAGCCTGTGGGCCGCCCGCCCCTCCACCGCTGCTGCCCCTCTCAGACCCTGCCGGGCAGAGACTGGTCACCGAGGGCCCCGCTCCGGCGTAGGCCCCCCGAGGCCCGGGGGAGGGCTTGATTCTCCCTCCTCCTGCCTCCTTAGCCATGTGGGGCTGCCCGAAACCCTCTCTGCACACTCCGGCCTGCTTGGGTGGAATCTCGCACTGCCTCAGGAGCAGCAGGGCCCATTTCCAGAACCTTCTCTAGAGCCTGAACCACCTACTCATATCCCCCTGGGCTCTCCTGCTAACATTCCTCCTGTGTGCCGGGCAGGGACCCTCATGGCCTGCCTGCGTTCTGCCCTAAGGTCGGCCCCCCGGCTGCCCACCCGCTTCTTCCACCCTAGCTGCTTCACCCCCGCACACGGTTCCCAGAGGCCTGGTCTGCGGAGGACGGCGCGTGGGGCGGGGTGGGGAGGGGCATCCTTCCCTGGGGCCGAGGGTCCCCAGCCGCCTACCTTTGGTGGGTGCTGCGGCCAAACCCAGCGCACACTCCTCCGCCTGGGACAGGAAACCCCCTTCCTGGCTCCGGGAGGCGGGCAGGGCGGCGGTGGGCACGGCCTCGGGCTTGGCCTTCTTGGTGCCCAGGATGTAGGGGTGCACGTCCAGGGAAAAGTGGCGCGCATGCTTCTTGTCGGGCGCGGGCCCCGCGTCGCCCCCGCTGCCCTTGTAGTGGTGCGCGGCGCGCGCGCCCGCGTCTAGCAGCGGCGCGATCAGCGTGTCCGTGGCCGTCTTGCGGCGCACGGGCTTGGGCTTCTCGGCCTTGCTGTTCTCCACGCGCATGATGGCCAGTGGCTCCTTGAAGGGCTGCGGCAGCGGGTTGCTGGTGGGGATCCACTTCATCTTCTTGCGCGGCCGCTTGACGATGGGCGGCTCGGCGGCGCCGTCGGGCTCGGCCGGGTTGGCGCTGGGGTCCACGGTCTGCACGCCCGCGTCGCGCACGGTGGGCGTGGCGTCGTGGTTGGACTGGGCCAGCGCGGCCAGCAGCTGCCGCACCACGTTGTCGTACATGAGGTCGCTCTCGTTGGTGATGAAGTCCAGCCGGTTGAGCGACTTGATGTGGTCGCGGTTCTCGTTGCAGAACATGGCCAGGATGTTGATGTCGCAGAACTGGGAGCGGCGCCACTGCCGGCGCGTCTTGATGCCCACCTTGTGCAGCTTGTCGAAGATGAAGTTGCTTTTGCGGAAGATGAACAGGTGGATGAGGTTGACGAGGATGATGAGGTTCATGGCGCACAGCAGCACGATGTCCACGCCCGCCACGATGCGCTGCAGCTGCACGGACGGGAGCTTGCAGCTGACGCGCACCGCTGGGCCCCCGCCAGCCGGCCCGTCCGGGGACGCGCCCAGCGCGCACGTGAACTCGTTCTGCTTCTGGGTGGCGTAGTAGGTGCACAGGTAGGAGATGGGCGCCACGCTGAGCAGCAGGATGAGCAGGTGCCGCGCCAGGTACAGCTTGGCCAGGAAGTTGCTGCGGCCGCGGCGCTCCAGGTACTTCTCGAACAGGTTCTGCTCGGGGCTCTTCTCCTTCTCGGCGTTCTCGATGATCTCACGCCGCTCGCGCTCCGTGATGCCGGGCCCCTTGGACTGGATCTGCTTTTCGATCTTGGGGGCGCGGCCCTCGGCCGCACGGTGGTAGCAGTTGTCGATCTCCTGCAGCAGGAAGTTGAGCTCGGAGGTGAGGCGGGTGGAGGCCAGGAACTCCCAGCCCAGCGCGGGCACGTACATGATGGCGGCGAAGGCCAGCAGCGAATAGGGCAGCAGCTTGTGCTCAAACAGCGACGGCCACAGGCTGGCGTCCACGCCGGGCAGCGCGTCCCGCAGCTCCGTCCAGCAGTAGCCGCGAGCGTACAGCGCCTGGTCGCGAGTGAAGTTGTGCGGCGTGTAGCAGTAAATGGGCTCCTCTGAGGGCAGAGAGGAGACTCGGGCTGGGGCGCGGGGGTGGGGGGACGCGCCAGACATGCCAGGGACTGCTGTTCCCCAGCAGAAATGCCCCGGTCGCCTACGACCCGCCACGGTGGCTGGGGGGCTCACCCTGGAGACCCCCACATACAGCGGCTGCCTGTGGCACAGGGTGGGGGGTACAGCCCCCCCAGGGACTGCCCTGCACTTCAAACCTGGGGTCCCCCTCTGTATGCATAGGGTCTGTGTGCACGTGGGGGAAACCCAATCCCACAGGGCAGCAGGACAGGCCACTCAGCACAGCTACCGGCCCTGGGCTGCACTGCCGGGGGCTCCATCTTTAGGAGGGTGAATGGCCCGGACCGTCCTACCTGGCCAGAGGCAGTTATGGTGGCACAAAAGTGGGCCCTGCCTGCCCCGAGGGGTATGGGGTGTCTCTCCCAGACCCACTGTCCTGGAGAAGGGCAGGCTGGGAGTCCTGGACGCTGGGTGGGCACGGGCAGTGACCTGGACTCTGGCAGGAGCACTCACCAGGACGGCAGTGTCTGCCGCTGGGAACGGTGGAGACCTCCTGAATTTCAGAAAAAAGGCTGTCACTGAACTTTATTTTCCCTCCCAGATGACGATGGGCATAAAACACCAAAAGGACATGTCTGGAGCCACGCTGGGGTCCACCTGCTGGGCTGTTACATTTGAACGTTTCTCCAAAGGGCAACACCTGGCAGGCATGGGGCTGTCCTTGTGCAGCACTAGGCCCCCACGTTCACTGCCCCGAGGGACCGGCCACCCTGCTGCTAGGCCAGCTTGAGACCTCTCACCACACAGGTCGGGGGTCAGCGGCCCCCCTACAGCGCTGCCCAGATTGCTCCTCTGGCTGGTGGGATCCTACCCTCAGACCTGGCTCATGGCCCCCACCTCCTCCCAGGGGAGGCGCAGACCCTTCCCAAACGTGTCACGTACTAATACCCAGAACTTTACACAGACTCTGCAAGGGGGATTAGGTTAGGGCTCGGGGCGGGGGCAGGGGTGGGAAGGATGACCCTGGATTATCGGATAGGGGTCCTTAGAAGAGGGAGGCGGGAAGGTCGGAGTCAAGGATGTGAGGATGAAAGCAGAGAAGATGCCACTGTGCCAGGCTTGAAGGTGGACAGACCACAAGCCAAGGACTGTGGGGTCTTTAGAAACTGGAGAAGGCAAACGACAGTCTCCCAGAGCCTCCAGAAGGAGTGAGGCCCTGCTGACCCCTAGACTTTAGCCCCATAAAACTCATTTCAGATTTCTGAGCTGCAGAGCTCTAAGATCATAAACTTGTGTCATTTAAGCCACTAAGTTTGTGGTCACTCGTTAGAGCATCAGCCGGAAGCTAACGCAGGTGGTGGCTGGCCACTTGCTGGCTGGCTGCCTCCTCTGCCGAGACCCTTTCCTGTCCCCCTGTGCCTCCCCCAGTGGTGTGAACAAACGTTCTCCCACGGTGCTGGGGGCCGAGGGGGTGGGACCCCATACACGAGGAAGGGCAAGGCCCTCAGAGGCCACAGACGAGGGTCGGGGAGACTTGGCCGCTGAGACGTGCGGCCTCCCCTCCCCAGACAGCAGTCAGCCTTGCTGGCTCCCCTGGCCCTCCGGACTTGGCACAGGCCCTGAAGTCCACGCTCAGCAGTCCTCCTGGGGCCGAGCACTTGCCCTCTCTCCTTTGCGAAAAGGGCACGCACTCTGGGGTTACCTGCACCCCTCCAGGCTAGAGAGGCCCCCAGGTGATGTGGGGCCCAGCTATTTAAGAAAACGCTGCTGGAAGATCCCCTGTGCGGTGGCCCAAGGACATCTGTGGAACCTGGCGACCCCACAAGGCCGGCCCCCTCTGTCCACGGTGCAGTAGGGGGGTCTGCTCACAGCAAGCCTGGCCAGGAGCCACGGGGGTCTTCCTGCTGTCTGTGGCCCTCCAGACTGGGGGGGGTTCTAGGCTAGGAAGCCAGTGCTGCCTTGTCAGCTCCTCACCCCAACCCTGGACATGGCCAACATGTGTGGCCAGCATCGTGTCCTTGACAAGCAAACCAGGGCGCAGAGTCGGGTCTCCCCCTGCTCCAGGGGATCCCCAAGCAGCAAGGTCCCGGGCATTGGGCACCCACCCCAGGCAGGGTCGGCTGGGGGGTGGTGAGTGTCGAGCCCCCGTCTCCAGGCCAGCTCCTCGCGGATGGGGCATGGATCCTTCTGGCACGCATGCCAGCCCTGTGCCCCGGGGCTGGGGCCTACGGATGGATGCAGACACAGCGCTGGGGTTGGGGGGGATCTGGGTGGCGGGGCCTCCAGTGCCTCTGAGGGTTAGAACTTGTGACCTCACTTCCTTCTTGCACCCCTGCCCCACCTGAGTCATCCCCACGTGTCAGCAGGGCCTCTCCTGGCAGTTCAGCTTGTGGACACGTGGTTCCCCCTGCACCCCTACTGTCCTCGGGTCTGGGGAGGGGCCCGGGGCTCGTCTACATTCTGTGTGAAGCACCAGGAGACATCCCACTCTACAGGCCGACACAGCCACTGTCCTGCCTTGACCCCCAATCCAGGTGAGCGAGAGCAGCTGCTGAAGCCCCCCCAGACCGTGAGGGGACCAAGGCAGGTGCAGCCCCTCTCAGCAATGGGGCCAGAGCCCACTTGACCAGCTCTTGCCAGCCCCCCTGCGTTCGGAGACCTGGGACAAGATTTCCTCGGGCACACCCAGGTGCCAAAGGCGGGCATGTTCCACGGGATGCGCTGCATGGCCCGGGATGCAGGGCAGCAGGGTCCAGCGCCTGTCTGCCACCGCTCAGAAGGTCTGCCTTGTCCATGCTCAGGAGCCCAACTGGGCACAGGCATGTCCAGGTGCAAATGCAGGTCAGCACGGGCGGGGGTGGGGCAGGCCTGCACAGGAAGTCCCAGGGCACCACCAGGACCAGGGATGAAGAATGAACTTGGGAGACCCCAGCCTGGCTGGGCGTGGAGCGGTGCTGAGGCTCCACTTGGGGTGAGCTGGACTCACTGGACAGCATGAGAATGGAGGCCCTGTCCCCGGGGGGGGCGGGGGTCACCTGAGGACGGCAGTCCTGAGCCTGCCCCACTGTGTGCGTCCGTAGTGGGCAGAATTGTGTCCCCCCCAAAGATGTTCAAGTCCCAACCCCTGGTTCCTGTGAATATGACCTTGTTTGTACTGTGGTCCTGAGAAGATCGTACTGGCGGCACCCAGGAGGCTCAGTTGGTGAAGTGTCTGGGCTCTGCACTCAGCGGGGAGCCTGCTTGGGATGCTCTCTCTCCCTCTCCCACCCCCTGTCGCTGCATGTGCACTCACTCTCTCTCTCTCTCAAATAAACAAATCTTAAAAAGACAAAACAAAACAGATAAGGTCACACTGGAGTAGGGTGGCCCCAACCCAATGACCCGTGTCCTTGAAAGAAGAGGGGATTTGGAGCAGACGCCCAGGGAGAGGCAAGCAGGGACGGGGTGAGGAGGCCCTGGAAGCTGGAGAGCCAGAAGGGACCCTCCCTGGAGCCTCTGGGCGAGAGGCCCTGCCCACACCCTGACTTTGGACTTTTGGTCTCCAGACTATGACAGTTGAGTCACCAGGCTTGTTACAGTCGTCTTAGAAACCAATACACCTAGATGCCCTGAGCGACACTGGTGGCTCACACCTGCGTCCGCACGCGCACTACCCCCGCCCCTGGGAGAGCGTCTGGGCACCAGTGTCCGAAGAGAGAAACCGCAGAGGCCCCCAGTCTCAGAGCGGCATCACGTGGGCCCGAGCATGTCCACCCTCAGGTCTGGTGGGTTCCCAGGTCATGGGGACCCCTAAAAATCGAGCCCTTTGTGAAAGAACCAATGCAGAGTGCAAGAATGTCTGCCAATGTCACTCGGGGCAGAGTCACCTGTCTCTCCTCGAGGGGTCACAGGAGCACCCACGCCCTCTGCCGTGGACAGGCACCTCTGGCCCTCAGGTCTGGCCAATGGACTGCGGAGGGGCCCCCCTGGACCCCTTGCCGACCAGATCTGGGTGGGGGGTGCCATTCTCTGCCTCCAGCCTCCCACCTACCTCCCCCTGCCCGACCCTGTCCCCGCTCCTCGGGAAGGATGGTGCTGGAGCCCACTCTTCCGTTCGCTTGCCGCCAGTGCCTCCCAGGCGGGCTCACCCGGGGTCACTTGTTAGGAGGCCCTCCTGGTGCCCCCCTGTCAATTTAAGGCCTCAGCATCTCACAGCGCTGGCTCCTGTCACTGCCCTATTCCACCTGCACGGGCCTCCGGCTTGGCCAGGTGGGTCCACTGCCCAGCACCGCTGTGGATGCTCAGCCTGGCCTCACCCGTCCTGCCTGCAAACCTTCTGGGCTCCCCATGCCCAGAGCAAGGCCTCCCCCGGTAGCTGACCAGAACCGGCTGGGTCTCAGGGACCCTCGCTGCAAGTCCCGGCCGCAGGGCTGCGCCAGGTGCTCTGACAGCCTTTGGCTTCAGTTACCGTTCTCATCACCTGTGACAGACACCCTTCTCCGGTCCCCACCTGGCTACTCCTCCCCCCTCAGAGCCGGCCCACTCCCCCTCCTGGTCTCTCCTGCCAGACCCCAGGTTTCATCTATGCCTGAGACCCACCAGGTCCAGGATGCGTCCACCCAGGGCTCACGCTGAGCGCATGGAAAGTAAAAACAATACATCGGAGGAGAGGGGTCTCGGAGGCAGCCCCAGGCGACTGGCGACATAGGCAGCGATGCAGGGGGAGGGGGTGGTGTCTGAGGATCTGCTGGGAGACCCCCGGGGCGCCGCCAATACCGCCAGGCCCCAGTGGGTGGCCCGCGGCGGGATGCCGGCGTGGGGACTCGGGGAGCGCCCGGCGCCCGACACCTGCGGACGCGCCCCCGGCCTCACCTGCGAAGTTCTTGGTGAAGACCAGGGTGACCAGCAGGATGGGGACGAGCACGGTGCCGATGGTGACCACGCGGTCGAAAGGCAGCTCGAGCTTGAGCTGCAGGAGCAGCGCCGCTAGCGCGCCCGCCTTGTCGTCCTGCGCGCCGGGCAGGATCAGCTCGCGCAGCTTCTCTCCGGCCAGCAACGCCGTCGCCATGTCCGCGGACTGCTCCAGGAGATGGTGCATGGGGGGCGGGGGCGCGGCCCGGGGGCGCGGGCGCGGGCGGGGCCGCGGGGCGGGGGGCGCCGGAGAGGGCAGGCGGGGACGCTGGGACGGATGGGGGGCGCCGGGCAGCAGGGGAGGGTAGCGGGGCTGCGGGGGGCGCCGGCCCGGCGCGGGGGTGGGGGACGCTCCGCCGCCGCCCCCGCGGGCAGGGGTCGGACCGCCCGCGCCCCGCCGCCCCCGCCTCGGCTGCAGCCCCGACCGGGCCTGGCGCGTCCCTCCGGCGGGGGCGGCGGCTGCTCTCCCTGGCTGGGGCCGGGGCCCCGCTCCCACCGCGGGGAGGGGGCTGTTTACCTGCGGCGACTTGCGGCGTGG